GCCCTCTCTAAATAGTTTCAGAGTTAGCCTATTGCCCCCAACAATCTGGGTCCTCATTTTACCAACCTCAGAAGGATGAAAGGCCGAGTCAACCTTGGGCCGGTCAGAATCGAACTCCTGGCAGTGAGCAGTGAGTTAACCTGCAATACTGCATTCTAATCACTGTGCCATCACGGCTCTTGGACTCTATTGCCCATGGTTCTGAACCAGCAGCTTCTGTACCAGCTTTTGGATTCGAATTAGATCCCATTCCTTCTGCCTCTATGGACTCTACTGCTCAGGATTCTGAACCAACAGCTTAGCTTCTGATTCCCAAGTAGTATTGATACCACCGGGTAGAAAGTCCACATTTTGAGAAATGCGGGAATGCTAAGTTATAACTCTGGCTCCTTGGGAGAAATGGCTTCATTGGAGACACAGTCAGCTGTGTCCTCCAAAAGACTCAGTCAGCCAATCATAAAACCATACACAAAAAGTTAGTCTGTTGCTACAAAGAATATTTAAAAATAGTTGGAACCCATAACCTTATCTTGCTATCACAAGTGTTTAGGTCCACACACTTTGTACATGTCAAATGATGAAATTGCAATTGCACAGTACTAACCACTGCAAATTGTAGCACAATGCTGTGAACACAATTAAAAAAAGGCCCAGGTTTGCACTGTGATGGTACAACACATGTTTTGCCATTTTCATGTTGTTGTGGTTTGTCCTGGACAGGAATACTTGCAATTCAGATTTCTGAACTGTCACCTGCAGTTCAGCCCCAAGGTGAGTTCAATCACCTTTTAGTTTGGGGATCTATTAATTCTGGATTTGATTTAGATCCCTCCTTGGTCTGCTGGGAGCGTTTATTCCTACACTGTCAAGTGAAAAACATGACAGCAAATCTGAAAATAGAGAAGCAAAGGACAGATAGAGAAGGACCATCACATCTCAAACTAGAGGGCTGTCATTACATAGGGAGAGAAGGAACAATACACACCGGACACTTTGAAATCTTGGCTCCGGCTTCCTAACTTTCTGAGAAATACAATTCATCAGAAGTACTTCGATTTTTTTGTGTGAGCTTGTTCAGTCTTGGGAGGTAAAGACTGACACCTAGTGACTTTCTGTGGGCAGACTTAGTGATTGATCTTAAGCAAAGGTTCCCCTCGCACGTATGTGCTAGTTGTTCCCAACTCTGGGGGGGGGTGCTCATCTCCGTTTCAAAGAGCCAACACTGTCCGAAGATGTCTCTGTGGTCATATGGC